TCGGGCTGAGAAGACAGACGTTTGCCTTAACCGTCCCCGAATCCTGCGGCGTCCGCGCCAACCCTACGCCCATCGTTCAGGGTTCACTGCCAGGTGTCCCCCTCCCCGGGCCACTCCCCCCTCCTCAGGAGAACCTGACGTCGGGGCTTTTCGGGTTGTTTGCACATCAGCGCAGACGACGTCCACCCTGTTCCCTCCCAAATCCGTGTCCCCTGTGTAAGGAGTCGGGTGATAGGACAGCAACAGATGCGCTGCAGGAACCTGAGGGTCGTGGTCTTTCGGGGACGGGGCAAGTCCCCGCTCTCGCACCGCCAGAGGCGTTTGCCTTTCAGCTCTGCAGCACCGGGTTAGACACAATGGTGGAAACTCCTTAATCTTTGTAGAAACTGTTCCCAAAGCTACGTCAGCCCTTCTCTGGGTTCCTTCAGGGCCGAGACCCGTATTTCTTTTACAAGCCGAATAAAGAACGTCGCAGCCCCCCCGCTGGGAACGCTTTAGGCAGCGAGGAGAGGATTTGGCTCTGCAGCTTCTCTATGGAGCCTCTGCCTGCGGTTTACTGCGTATGACCCACCTCTCAGGCAGAAACGGGGAGGCCCTTTGGACAGTTCATTCCGGGATAGAGCATTTTCCCCACCTTGTTACGCCCAATAGTTATATATATATTTTTAAAGCATCCTGTGCAGGGATCTACTTAGCAGATCCTTTCCCGGTAGACCCGTGGTGCAGCCCCTGGAAGCTCCCGTTTGAAACTCTCTGGCTTATGCCTCAGGGGGGGGACCTCGCGGGGGGACCAGGACAGGGCTGCGCAGGAATGAGAGGTAACTGGGCCCAGAAGGCGTCCAGCTGGCTCCTGGATGACGACTGAATCTGCTTGCACAGACCCGGAGAGCGTCTAATCCGGGGGCCCCCGCGGCTGTGCTGCGCAGAGCCCCCCAGGCAGCCTCACCCCGGGGAATTCTCACGGGCGTGTCTGAAGTGTGGTCCAGAAACCTCAGTGTTTTTCCAGCTTAACCGCAGTATAACTGACAAATTAAAGATTGTATGTCTCAGGTGTGCAGCAGGGTCATCTGATAGGTGTGCACCTTATGACACGATCACCATGAACGAGCGAAGGGACGTACCCAGCACCTGGTCCAGTGACCTTTGCTTCAGGTGCGTGAAAAGGTACCACCCTCGCCAGTCATTAGGGAAACACAAGCCAAAACCCCGACGAGTGATTGCCTCACACCTGGCAGACTGGCCTTGATTAAAAAAGACAAGACGGAACACGTGCTGGCGAGGAGGCGGGGAAAGGGGAGCCCTCCTGGCGCATTGTTGGTGGGAATGCAAATTGGGTTCAGCCACTTACAGGATCAGTAGGAGGGTTCTCAGAAAATTAAAGGCAGGTCTGTTCTCGGATCGAGCGACCCCTCTTCTGGGCTCGTGCCTGAAGGAAATGAAGAGATATCTGCTCCCCCGCTCACAACAGCCAAGGCATGGAGACGACCTGAGGGTCCACAGACAGACATGTGGCTAAGAGAGATGTGGTACAGACGCAGTGGAATAGTATTAAATTATAACGTTTTTAAAATAAAAAAAATTAAAAATTATTTTAATTTATAATAATTTATAATTATTTTAAAAAAAAGAAATCATGTCACTTGCAACAACATGGATGAACCAGAAATCTGAAGTTTTAGAAGCACCCCAGGGGTCCTAGTTCAGGTGACCTGAGGACCACACTGTAAGATGCACCGTTTCAGGCCACTACGCGCACACACGCACACACACACGTGCACACACGCACGCAAACACTCTTACATATTTATTTATGCTCAGGAAACTGAGTTCTGAAAAGGAAAATTGTTTACATCTCAACAGCATCAGGCGCAGGCAGGAACATTCCTTCCATCCCCAAGGACGTACAGATGTGCACAGACACAGTCTGCTGAGCCCCTCGCTCCCAACGCTGGAGCTGAAGGCTGGACGCCAGGCTCTGTTAGAGGAAAGAGAACATTGTCGGGTGGCTCTATACACTCATATTTTCCTACACAACGTGAACGTGTTCCGCCCTGCTGGATGCCATTCGGTGATTTTTTAAAAAGAATTTAGGTTGAGAAAGAAATTCCATCTTTTAAAAAATATATATTTGTCTTGATTTATAGAGAGAGAGAGGAAGGGAGAGGGGGAGAGAGAGAGAGAGAAACATCATCCAGCGCCGCCTCCTACAGGCCCCTTACCGGGATCGAGCCCACAGCCTGGGCATGTGCCCTGACCGGGAATAGAACTGGCGACCTTTTGGTGCGTGGATGACACTCAGCCACTGAGCCGCACCAGCCAGGGCTCATTCAGCGATGTTTAACTAGAATTCATGCTTGGAAACTCTGATGAGANTTTTGGTGCGTGGATGACACTCAGCCACTGAGCCGCACCAGCCAGGGCTCATTCAGCGATGTTTAACTAGAATTCACGCTTGGAAACTCTGATGAGAAGATTTTCTATGGGGTCCTAGATTTGTGTTAAAAAAAAAACATCTCTGTGAGCCGTGAGCCTGTGCAGCCCCGACCCGGAGCCTTTCCAGGACCTTCCTTCCTGGCCTTCCAGTTCCCACCCCGTTCACCTTCCTCTTCTGTTCTGAATCTAGGGACAGAGATTCATCCATATTTTATAGGATTCCTGAAAACAGAAGCAGAATGAATACGTTTTGTGGTTAAAGTGAAAACACAGAGTAGGAGGAGCCCTGGACGCTGTGCTCGGGCTGAGCCGTGGTCTGCGGGGGCGGCAGGCATCTGTCTCTAACTGCGGGTCCGTCTCTGCGCCGAGGGCTTTGCACACAGTAGGCGCTCGGTGAGCGTGGCCAGACTGCCTGCTTCCCTCAGCAAACACGAGGAGCTTGTGGATCACCCCCCGCGAACGTCTTGTAGCTGCTCCGTGTTTCACAGCCGTGCGTGGCCTGGGAGCCAGGTGTCCGCGCATCTGATGACTCGGGTTCATCGCCGAAGGTCACACACGAAGAAGAGTCGTGTTTCCTTCCTTCTTCCTCGCTCATTGTTTATTTCTTCTTGTTACTTGAAAAACTAAGCTGTGCATCGTTCAGATTGTCCTGCTGAACAGAGGCCTGTGGAGCCGAGAGGGGCGATGTGAATATTAAGGCATCTTATCTACAGAAGCACCTTTGGGGGAGAGAGAGACAGAGGGAGAGACGTGCTTTCTTCCCATATTTTTAAGGTGGTTCAGAATATTTTTTCCTGGAAAACCTGGCGCGGCTGGGAACGTCCTGAGTCCTTCCCTGGGCTACGAGTTTGTGGCTAAGTGTCGCCAGACAGAATCCGGCGCCACCTCACCTGTGCGGCCTCACCTGGCCTCTGAATGGCTCGTTTCCGTAACCGACGCACCTGCGCAGAGGCGGGGTCCCGCGTGCTGCAAGGTTCCTTTCTGATTTATTTCTAATATTCGACCCCCTGCGTCAACAGCGCACTCTCTGCCTTTCACTGATGCTCCCCGCCGGGCTCGCTGTCCGCTCTAAGGCCTCTCCTCCAGTCGCCGGGTGTCCCGAGGCCTTGATGGCTCAGGGGCACTGGCTCCCCGTCTCGGTGGGCGTGGGAACGCCGATGTATAGTCGCCGCTTGGTTCGCGGGAGAGGCCTGAAGCCCGAGGGGTTTCCCGAGGGCAGCGCCCGCAGAAAATGTGCTTTGCGCTCTCCTGCTAAACGTTTCCCAAGAGTCCTCCGAAGGCGACCTTGATGGCTTCTAACAGCTGCCGACTGTCACCGGACCGGCTGAGACAAGTTCCCCACACGGGACTCCGCCTGTCACCAGGCGTCTGATCACGTCACCCAGTAAAGTTTCTGGCCGTGAAATGAAGGCAGCCAGGGACGGGGAGCTGGCCGGCCGTGGCCAACCGCAGGCGTGTAGAAGGACACGCTTCTTGATTTTTAGTGAGAGAGAGAGACCACGATCGGGGGTCTCCCCTACGCGCTGACAGAGGATCGAACCCCTGAAGCCACGTGTGCGCCCCGCCTGGGAATTGAACCGGCAGCGCTTTCTGGTGCGCAGACGACGCTCCCCCAACCGCGCTCCCGGCCGGGCGGCCTTCCCGCTTTTCTTTCCCTGCATCTCCTC